CCAGCAATGTGTTGGGATGTGCATTTATTACCATGAGGCGTAGCTGGCAGCATCGACCTGCTGCTGGGCCTGAATGCGTGGCTGATGAGCGTGCTGAGGCCGACGCTTACACCCAGCGCTGCAGAAACCAAAGTTCAGCCATTACACAGGGCTACACATAAAGAGGCATTCACCTGCTCTCATTGGATGCTGAAGGTTTCAGGAAGGTTTGAAACTGAGATATTTAACATCCAAATGATCTGTAACATCCATCGGTGTGTCCACAACAGCTTCATGTTCTAGTAGCTGCATTTCCAATTGTGCAGTTTGACACTTTGAAAATAAATTTGCAACACTGAAACACATCAATTTCAATGAAAGGCTTTGGCCTTAGAGACGAGGTGGTTGGTTTTATTGCCCGTATCAAAATAGGTTTATTTAGCAAATCTGTAATGGAAACACTTTCTTCACATCACAGTAGTCAAATGACCAACAACCGGATGTTACTACTGGCACAAACCACAAAGAAGAAGACAACACGAAGTAGATGGAGGATGGTGGCGCTGCATGCTGATCAAACTCATTCATGTGTGATTTTAATTCAGTCTCTTAATGGAAACACAGCAATAGCAAAAACTGTGTATTTTTGACATTTGTAATAATGATACAGTTAGTGTCTCTGAAAAGTCCTTTGCCCTCTACAAAGTTTTCACATTATACCCACAGATTGTATTTTAATCAGATGTTTTTGAAAGTGAAAGAAAAACTGAATTTTCTGAGTAAAAATCAGTTTTGGTTTTCTTTTCTGCTGGTGTTTCATGTATTTCCTTGTTTATGTTCATTAAGTCTAGCCATTTTTCAGTTCATTGGCCATGGATTATTGCTAGAATGGTGTTGCCATACATTTCATTCCTTTGTGCTCAGTTTCTCAGGTTATTCTTGTTTTCTCTTCTCTGGTCTGTTTGTCTTTTCTCCTTGATTTGTGGTTCCTTTAGGTCTTAGTTCAACTTCCTCTGTGTTGATTAATTTCTCACTCTGCTTTCTACCTGCCACAGCTGTACCACTTTTCCTCTGATTACTTCATTTCCACTCCCGTCTCTGTATGGCCCAGCAGTTCAGACCTAAATCAAACTGGGAATCAGTTTTCAGACTAGAAAAACTCTGAACCAATCTGACTAAACATTAAGGTGTTTCTACTGAATGGGAATGTATGCCTCAAGTCCTACTGTTAAAATAAAAGATTTCTGAAAACCATTTATCCTTTTCCTTCCATTTCACAGCTTGTCTGTCACACAAAATTCAAATAAAATACCTACATTTATTGATATTTGTAGGAAAGTCAAAAGGAATATGAGGTCAAGCAAATATGAGCAGCAGAGACAGTAATGTGCAAGTTTGTGCTTTTTGGTGTTGATTGCAATCAGTGCATGTGGTGGTATAATTCTTAGTCATGCGTGGGTGTGTGTTTGTGCTTCCTCTTTTGCAAATATGGGCGAAGGTTTCACTTCCTCCTCGACCTGACAACATCCTCACGCCTGTGGTGAAAGACAGGAGAAGAGAAGAGACACCTTAACCAAATGTCAATTTCAACTTCTGAATTTATATATTATTTAGTTTCTGACGTATCGACACATCTTGTGCTCATTAACAAGCGAGGATGACCTCAAAAACATGAGAAACTGAAGCCAGCAGTGTGAAAGTTAGGAACCAGCAGTCACATGACAGGACTTTTCATTTCAACAAATCTTCTCAAACATCTGATGCTGGCAACTATTTTCATCAAAGTTGCATCTTTCTTCTGCATGAAAATTCAATTCGGCCTGCTTGATGCTTTTATTTCTAATCTTGGAAAAAATCTGCAAAAGTTTTCACAAAAACTGTTTTCTTGCTTTTCTTAATGAATCGGTTCATTTGTGCGTAAGAGAGGAATTAAGCACAGCTGTGAAGATCAATAGTCTCATCCAGTTTTGAGTCCTGACTCCCCCACCGCATCTAATCTGCCTATCCAGGCTGCAGTCAGGTGGCAATTCCAACAGAGGGAAACTGAATCACAGTGACCTTTAGACAAACCAGCACGGATCCAATGAGACTTTCTTAATGCAACAGATGGAGCAAATTATAAAAAGCAAACAACACAGGCATAGATGTGTTGCCTTTTGATGAGAAATCAGAACTTGGGTGTAGAGGATGCAAATGAATCCTGATTGCATCTGTTGGTCAATATCTCCTTCAAAAATGGACAATTTGCACATCCTCAGTGTAGTGTGTCAACATGCAGCTTTAGTGCCCCCCAGTGGTGCCTCAGAGGAAAACACATGGCATTCGATAAGCTTCAGTCCAGTAAGGCGTTAACACAGAAAATACAAATTATTTTGGAGAAAAAGGGTGAATTCTTCATAATTTTGGCACAGTTGCCAAATTATCACATTACCTTTGATTATTTTCTGTCCACTAGAGAACCCCATACCTTTTTTTTGTTGTGCGCTTGAAGAGATATTCTGGGTAATCTTTCTAAACTACCCATATCTAAAGTAAAGGCCATTTTTAGGAACAAAAATGCTCTAGATAGCTGATAACACACCTGTGTCAGAGGAGATTTGTGCCACTAGATGTGACTCAGACTTTTACCATGGATCAAAGGTCAATCTGATAAGAGTCTGTGGCTGAAGTGAAAAAGGCCGGCCTGAACAGTCTGAGTCAGGCTGCATTAGAAAAACAGCTGCAAGTTATTACAGCCAAACGCTTCCTATGTGACAAAGTTTCTGTTTCTTTCTGATCAAAATCTCTGCAGGCAGATTCAAGGGCCTCACAGAAACTTCTCAGAAATGTGATTCATTAAAAACATTATGCATGTGCAAGATTTTAGCAAACAAAGTTATCTACACTTTCGCATAAAGAAACTGACTTGAATCTGACATGCTAACATGAAAAGATTTTATAATTTACAAGGTGAGACTTTATGAACATAAACTATAACCTAAACTCACCTATGGTATGTAATATCAGGTATTAAGACAAAAAAAACTGATCAAATTTATCCTTGTTCTGTTTTAAAATATATTTTAATCTGTGTGACTGTTTCCTCTCATCTTCCTCTTTATTTCTCTCCGTGGTATGTGGTGCCCCCTACTGTTTTCATTTATCCCTGCACATAGTTTTTCAGCCTAAAAACTAAAGAAAAATATATATGCAATTCTTAATCTGTAATACTAAAGAGGTGTTTATAAATGTAATTTTATTTCACATTATTATAAAAACTAAGCAAGGATTTGTAAGACATAAACAGCATCTTTCTCTTCCAGAGATTCCAGCCGCATCAAGAGAGAGACGTAACTTTTCTGCTGCAGATTCAGTCAGAAGGAAGCAACACTTCATGCTTCCATTGCTCCTTTTATATAACTAGGAATTACAGCAACATGTCAGGTCATCTTCCTGCAGCCGATGCTCTTTTGGAAATGATCATTGTTGTGCTTGTTGTAGGTGTAAAGATCATTGTAATGTTGCAAATCCAGGAATGAATATGAGGATCAGACTGGCTTCAGATGAAGTCTGAATAATCTCACTGAGAACAGAAGGCGGGAAAGAAAGGACAAAATCAATTCAATGGAGCTGCGGCACAACAGGCGGACGGACGGAAAAGGTGTATGTCATACTGGTTTTAGTTTGTAGCTGATATGACAGGACTGTCTTCCAAAGTAATATGTGAAAGTATATATATTAAATTACAGAGTAGTACGGTCTCATTAGCACAATGTTTTATTAGTGTCAGTACTATTTTAAAAAAATATATTACAAGTATTTGTACATTCATCATGTTTCTCCTTAATATCTTTCAAAGGAATATGTTTATGTGTTTATCACCATATGACAGCGTAGGTATCGTCTTAGGTATCACGTGGTGGAACTTTAAAAGGCTTTTTAAAGTTAAATTAAATCATATTTTAGGCACTTCACACAAAGCCTGTTTTGCATTTCTAGCATCTAGAAACAACAGGACTTGGCAGATTGATAGATTTTATATTACTTTACATTTTTCTATGCTAGTATGCAATTATCTGTCAAAACCAACATATATAAAATATGCACAGTGTGCAGGATATTTGTAAAAATGTCTGTGAAGCGACATTTTGTCACGATTAAAATGACATAGACTGTGTATAAAAGCAATTCAAATGAAGAAAGTGACAAAAAAATCTAGACATCTGAGAGTAGCTTCTCACCCCAAATAAGCCAAATAAATTAAGGCACAACAACACATGCTATTCATGCTTTGATGCTTTCAAAGCTAAATTAATTTATGTCACTGCATGAATGTAAATGCTGATACTTGTAAATGTTGCTGCTATTTTACCATCTACCTCTTGAAAATAATATCAGTGAGGTTTTATCTGTATAAGTACAGATTATTATAGCATTCATTTTCAAATCTGATCTGATGTCAGACTGTTTCAGACTCTGTGGGATTATGAGCTCAACTGTGGAAACTGCTGCAACAAAAAGGAGAGTCTGCAGCCAACTGTAAAACACGGTAGTGGCTCTGTCATGGTAGGGGGTTGCATTCGATCATACCATGACATGGATGGTGCTTCTTGATTGGCTGCTTTTTATACCATGTCAAGCAGCAATGTGCCAAGATATTTCAGCTTCCCAAGCTGCATTATCTTTTGAATATAAGGATATGCTTTAAGAATAATAAAAAAATATGAATAGGCCATTTTTCTACAAATATTTGGTGTTACGTCCCACAGCACAATCCACTGAAAACATAACAACTAAAAAAATAAGTAGAAAGCTAGGACCAAACTTATTACTATCTTATATTTTTGGTATGTATACAAACATTTGTAATAAAAAATAAAACACATTTATGTGTTTTGCAAGTAAATATGCTTTTGTGAAACAAAGATTTAGTTATTGAAACTTTTTAGATACGTTTTGAAAAGATAAATTATGTCTACAGTGTTAATGAGGGAAATACGGATCTAGAAAACATGAATAAAGTCGCTTTACTAAAGAAAACCCCGGGTCCCCTGCTTGGAAGGACGTATGGCTCGGCGCATGCGCTCTGCCGCCCGTGTCCACCAGGGCGGTGATCTCGCTCCCTCTCTCGCAGGCTCACTCTCCGCGGGTGTCTCTCTGTCACACTCTCTCTCTGGGAAAAACCCGAGCAGGAGGAGAGCAGCAGAAGGGGGAGGAGGAGGAGGTCTCCTGCTTCTTCCGATTCAGCGACTGAGTCAGGCTATTTGAAAAAAAAAAAAAATAAATAATTAAATAATATAATAACCGCACCAAACCTGGTGGTGCGGGGCGGCTGAGGAAGAAAAAAAAACCTCACACGGATGTGTCTCCGAAAGCGCAGCGGATACCGCCCTCCGGACCTGATTAATGCCAAGATTGTGAGTATCTGCTCGGCTCGTGGAACGGGCTGTGACACGGAGAGTGGGGTGGAGGAGTGGAAGAGTGGAAGGGGGCGCTGGTTCCAGTCTAACCTGGCCGCTCTGAGGGCTCCGCGGCGGGGCTTCTCCTCGCTCGTCGCTGCGCGGTGGAAAGGTCGGTCTCCTTGATTCCTTCCCTCATTCCCCCAACCCGCTCCGTCCTTCCCTCCCTCTCTCACCTCCTCGCTTTCTGCAGCAGTTAGTCTGTGGGGGTAAAGATGAAGTGAAAGAGGCGACAGAAGTCTCTCTCTTCGGCCTTTTCCGCCTCATTTAAACGCTTTTCTTAATGACACTTGACTCCAGGACTCCAGCGGGGGCGGTTCAGCCTCGCACCTTTTCTTTGACGGCTTTTATTTCTGTGTCAAGTAACACGAGGAGCTCGTTAGAAAAAGCAGCGATGGCACTTTGGTTCTCCATCAGTTTTATGACATCCTGTCACTTGTCATGTCTTGTCGATTAGTTCCTGAGAAACATTAGAAAACTATAGATCAACTTCTCTGCTTTTAAAGTTACTGACATGCACTCCAACTAAATTTGTTCACCAGTTTTCATTCATTTTAATGAACTTTCGAAAGGTTTTGCGTGTAACAATAACACGATAACTATCAAAAAAGAGAAATGTCATCCGGATGAGTTAATTGTTGCACCACTGAGTGAGCGTCTTTTCTTGTCCTCAGGAGACATTAGTATGAATTGTAGGTGACCGGCTCATAAAAGGACAGTGTGTACACGTGTGGCTGCCACCTGCGTGCATTTGTTGCTTTTTGTCTCCATAACATCTTCCTGAAAAAGAATGTGCATCCGTTTTTTTCTGTTTACTTTCTCTGCAATGTTGCAGATCATCAAACAAAATGTGTCATTAGACAAATATAATCTTAGTAAATAGGTTTTCATATGATGATGTAAGAGGAGATCTGGCGCTATGTGAAAACATTTGAGGGTGTTTTCAAATTGCAACATTTGTTACATTTTCAGTTGGTGTGGTTCACTTCACTCTACACTGTGTCAAATGAACCAAACCCTTTAAAAACCAGTTCCCCCCCTCGCCTGTGGTGGCGCTGCACCAAGAACCACTGAAGGAAACAAAAACCTCTGAAGAAGAGCTCAGCACAGCTTCCTCCTTCAGGAAGTGTAAATACAAACAAAGTGGCGTAATATTTTAGCGTTTGACGGATTTCTCTTTTGTCTTTGGCAAAAGACCATGAGCCATTTCTTCTGCCAGGGCGACTTGCACGTTGGTTTTGGTTGCATTTACCCAGAATGCCCTACGCTGTGGTCCGCTTCCTGCTTTTGGTGCTACCTCCACTCTGGTTGGTGTTCACATATGCATTCGCATCAGAATTCACTTACACTGACTTGAAACCTTGTAGGCCGACCAGAGTTTGCTTGTTTGGTCCATATCAGAATTAAATTGTGCATTCACATCTCCCTAAAGGAACCAGACTTTCTGGACAGACAAACTAGGTTGGAATAAAGTGGAATAAACACTAACTTAACCAAATTTATGTCAGGCTTAGTTCAATTTCACCAGCCACACCGACGTTTGGTTACTGGCAGACCTTTAGATTCAAGAAAGCACTAAAATGAATAACTTTCTGACGACGTTAAAGGTCTCATAAAGCAACACATCATGCCTCAATCTAAAAATATTGAGGAGCAGATGAGAAACAAAGTTGATTATCTATTGGTTTTGAAAGGATCATAAAGCTCCAGGTAAATATTAAGTGATCACAACATTTTTTAATAGCGGATATGAGAGTCTAAGATATCCAGTCTAGAGTAAAACATGGCGGTGCCCTTCATGGTGTGGAGCTACGCTTCACCTTGAGGCTTTGGGAATGTAGCAAAAATGTGAGGCGCTATGAAAGCAGAATTACGTACTGTTGGATTTGGACTGACCGTTTAGACTACGTGCGTCCTTCTCCAACCTTTAAGAGCCGTTTCAGATGTCCCTGCTCTACAGTTGGATTAATGGCTAAATTAGCTCTTGAGCTTCTCATCGAGTTCTGCTGCGGCCTGGTAATAAACCCTTCATTTGATTCAGGTTTGCTGAGCCAGGGTAACATCTAAAACATTCTCGACCCTGACTCTTGTTGACTGCAGTTGGCCAGCGTTAATGTAGAAAGAATTTTAATGGCCACTTCTTTTTTTTTAGGGCTGACTATGAACCAAAATTACACTGAAAATGTAGGAGAAGCTCCTCTAACCTTTTTATACATACTTACACCACTGTACATCAGTTTGTTTGTATTTCTTGATTTTTAATTAAAAAATATGATAAAGATGCATAAAAATGTTAATATCTAATTTTACTTATTAGTCTACTCTTGTCTTGTATTTGCATAAAGCGTTGCATTTAACATAGTTTTCATTAATCTGTCTTCTTGAGAAGAATTGAGAACTAATAATATTGAAAGTCAGTTGGACATGCAAACTTTTGTGTCAATTTATGAGCTGCTATCAATCATTGTGACAGCATGTTCACTGATAGATGTTGTGCAGGACTGTGTGTGTGTTGGACTTAGGTTCACACACAGTTTTTCTGACACTATTACTACACTTTATTGCTGCGGCAGCCATATTGAATTTTTAGATGGAGGTTGGTGAGAGCCTCCGTAGGTTACATGCAGTGCAGCACTGCAGATGCTGTGAGGTTTGCATTTTCAAATAGAATTGATAAAAGTTTAACTTTACAAATGCAGTATTACATGTTTATAGTCCCCTCATCTATTTGTAGTTTAATATTAGTGAAAAATTTTATACTTGCAGATTTTTTTCATGCAGCATATCTAAAATATTCAAAAAGAAACTTGGAAAACTCAAATGCCCAGGCGCACTGCTACTTGGCACGTCATTGGCTTCTACTTGGTGAGGATATCTCATTTTCCTTGGTGCTGATTGGCCACAAACAGCAGAGATAAGGAAGACCGTAGAGATTAGCTTCTATAGAAGTGCTAAGACAGTTTCCACTCTGCACATTAATGGATATTTAGGCATGTTTGGTGTTTCACCTGTTAAATTAGGCGGTTCTGAACCTTTTTAATGGAGGTCTTATGTATCTGTTAACCAGGGATCCACTGTAGTTGTATTCTCTGCATTTACAATATTTATCCATAGATAGGCCACATTTATTATCAGCTTCCTGCATCGTCTAAATATGTCCAACGTCTCCTAAAGAAGTTATTGGACATGTTGTTTTTGTACTAGGAGAGGTTTTCAGAACTACAACGTTCCCTGGTTGCAACAGATTACAGGTCAGAAAGTTGACCTGGTCTGTGAGTTTCTTAGAGAAAACTAAACTACCAGGTTCAGTCACACACTCCAGGCTATTTTTGTGTTTGTGGCTAATTATGGGAACCTCAATATCCTTTAAAGCATGTTAATGCCCAAACTGACAAAACACTTGAAATACCTCATCTCTAGGAATTTGTAGGATTCTTGTTTTAAGCCTATTTATAACCATATAAGGTTAAAGCCTTTAATTGGTTCCTTCTCAACAGGAAGAGACAGAAAGCAGAAACGAATGTGCTGCTGTGCTAAAATATGTTTAATCTGAGCAAATAAATCAGATTTTACAGCTGATCTAGTCGAAGACCATTAATAAAGTAATACTAGGCGTGTTTGGGTGAACAAGGATATGAATTTTGCGTAAAAAATCAGAGGAAGTGCTGACAGAGTGAGCTGGACGTACGTCTCTTTCAGATTGGTGGATCTGTGCAGGAGGAACTCCTGGCTATCAGATGTCAGCAGCCATGTCCCCTTATCCTCAGAAATCCGTGTTTCTCCGGCTCCTTCCTGAAGCCGAGTCAGATTACAAACACGGTCCAAAAACTCTGAGGGAATTATTAAAAAGTAAAATGAAATTTGTTTGTAAATGTAAAAGTTAGGGTTGTTAGTCACTTTGACTTTTTCAGAACAAAGTAGTTTGAATTTATTGCCATTATTAAAGTACCTCTTTGTTACTCTGTGGTGCATATCTTTAGTGACTTCAGGAAGACTCAGAAGTATTTTCTTCTTCTTCTTGCCAGTTGGTTCACACTTCCTCTTCCTGACTCTTTCTTCATTTTGTCTGTTACCTACTTCCTCTTTCTCAAGTTGGTCATCTCCTTCCCTCTTCATCTCTTTTTTTGCATTCTTCTCCTGATTTGCAGTTCTCATTGTCTGCTTGTCAGTAGTAATGCACTAAACTGTTCAAAACTCTCAAACCAGCACTGACCTTCAACTTCAGAGGTTTCTTGGTTTCTCTTCTAACCATTCAGAGTCTCAGTCGTAGATCTACAGGCTTCTTTGAGGTACTTTTTTTCCTGCTTTTTTTAGTACTTTCTGAATAGATATTGTTCCATGAAATAATTTACAAAAGTCCTTAATGTGCAGCAAGTGGCCAAAATAAGAAGCACCAGATCTATAGGCAGCAGCTCCTAAGAGTGAAGTCTTTACCATAAAAACTTAAAAACAAATGAGAGATCGGAAACAGCAGGAGAAACCATGTCATGGTTTGCAAGTCACTGTTAAAAAAAGCCTAAAGATGCATTTTGTATCATGCTTCTGGTAAATTTGTGTTATTTGGAGACAGCAGAGATTCATATCTGCAGTCAGTGGTACTGGACTGAAAATGACTGAAAAGTGGTCAAAGTCCAGAGAAAAACTGAGAAGTTTCAAACGACGTCACTTTAAAGGACCTGGAGAAAGTCTGACTCTTTGGAGGCAAAATTGAGAATCCAAACCTGCACTGCGAGTTTAGTCTTACTGAGAAATGTAACAAACATTAACCATAAAGGAAAAAGCTGAAGTACCTTTGAACAACTCTTCTTGCCATGCGATTGGCCAGCGCTTGCTAAGCAGCCAATCCAGGAGTGCCATTCATTTTCCTTCCAGCTGATTGGTTAAACCCACAACAGCACTCCTGTTTGTTTTTAATCCCTAAACTTAGCCATATACAAGATGCATTTGAGGTTCTTTTTTTAAAAAAAGCAAAACTATAAATCCTTCAATTTGTCGGGAATTTAACATTTTTAATTCCAGCATTGGATCTATGACAATTACCCTTTGAAACTAAATGATGCGTAAAATTTACCTGGAAGTGGTAAATCTTTGTGTTTTTTTTTGGATTTGTAATCTTTGTAAGGTGTAAATTTTAACAGCTTAAGATGTTTTTATCATTTGTCTGTTGCTGTTAATGCAACTCGGCGCTCTCATAAAGTGCCGTTTGAACGTTATTTGGTGTTCTCTAAAACTGTGATTGGTAGATTTTTCAGAGAAACATCTTTTCCTGAGAGTCTGAAGCAGAAGCAGAGGACGATCATGAATGCTGTAGGATTTTAGTTCACACAAAGATTTCCTGCTTTTCTCTTTTCCACAGCTTACCTGTGTCAGTCATTGTCTCCTTTAGTTTTAGTTTCTGTTCTGTACATAATTGTTTTTTAGACGTCGCCTCATTTTTAGTTGTGTTTAATCTTCTTTTCTTGCCTAAGCAGCAGTTAAGAAGAAAACATGAGAGCAAACTCCTCCGCCTGTTATTCAGAATCAGGTGAAATGCACTGAGATCACTCAGAGGAAAGGTTTTTAAAAAGTCCTGAATTTACCAGAACAATTAAAAATGTCTTGCAGTAAATCTCAGCTCATGAAATCTGCTTTGACAGCCTTTCTTTTTCTCCCTAAATAACTTCTTAGCATCATTAGCTTTCCGTATTCAAGCTAATTGGCTTGATGAGCAACAGCCTTGCTACTAATCTCTGTCTCATGGTTTCAATGTGGGATTTTAAAGCTGAACTTTCTCTACTAGGAGATTTCTAAAGGGCAGCTGCTTTCAAACTCCAGCTTTTAAACTGCTTTATAGGAAAAAAAACCTTCTCCAATTCATGATGACCAAAATGATTTTGAATCATGCATATTTGATGGAAGGCCCAACAGTACGTTCACTTTGAAATGGTGTCTAAGTTTATCACATTGTGTGTGATCATCATAAACTGATTAATGACCATATATACATGTTTTTTTTTCTTTCTTCCCAGAATTTTGTTGCCAAAATTAGTCATTTCTGAGCCTCAGTTTAGAAAAATAAACTGGAGCTTCATGTTAAAAATTCCTAAAAAGTTGAATATTAACCCTGAACGAACACATAATCCTTTATGGATTATGGTTCGATTCCCGGACCTGGACCACTTACTGCATCCTGTCCATCCTGGTGAAGGCCACTAGTGACAAAATATTCTGCATAAAAATATATGTCTTTTTTTTAACAGAATAATTGAAGATGTGCAGACACACAAGAATTACTGCTACATTTTCACCAAATGGTCTTTGTAAAAATTTGACTTTGTGCCACTAATTACAAACATACAACACAGTCCTCACATTTTATTAGTAAAAAAAGATTGTCTTGTGTTTAGACTTAGCAGAAGCGGAATGCATGCACAATACCTGATGGATCCTTGACTTGGTATCAGGGAGAAAAGAAATGTCAGAAAAACTAAGAGCACAGGTTTGGGATATAAAACTTAAATTATTAATAATTAAATGTTGTTGACTTAGTCTTATCTGGATGCTTGATCCTGAAGTTCAGGGATTCATTTGTTTGACCAATACTGAAAACACAGCGATATTTTGGAGTGTGTATTTTCATCAAAATGCTCACCAGTTTCTATTTTTTAAAGTTTGTTCTCATTTCCATCTTTGATATTAAGGTAACTGATTATGTTTTATTGTAAAAACAAAAGTGAAGTAGGAAGTGGCGCCATTTATGATCTGTGTGAAAACACACACAGAGATTCATGACTTTGTTTTAAACCAAAAGTTTTGCATAACTTACACGAAATCTTATTGTGATTAATTGACCACATCTGAGTTGGGACACATAATCACTGTGGCCTTTTCTTCTCTTCCTTTGTTTGTGTGTGTGTGCGCATGTGTGTGTGTGTGTGTGTGCTGTTGCCGGTGGACACCCATGTTCTTGTCATTGGGGTTCTGGTGCATGTTGTGGCTGCTACATCTGTTGCTGTGTGTGTGCGTGCGTGCGTGTTTGTGTGTGTGTGTGCGCCTTCATGTGTGGAACATTTTTTTTTTGCGGTAATTGTTTTTATTTACGATACATTTGCATCGTGTGCGCTTGTGTTTGGCAATTTTGCGCGAATGCATGTCTGTGGACTCATCTGTGTGTGTGTGTGTGTGTGTGTGCTCACGTTTGTGCGTGCGTATGTGTGTGTGTGTGTCTGGGTGCGTGTGTTTGTAAAGGAGAGGTCCGAGGAAGAAGGGGGGATGACATGCATGTGTCCAGCCTGCTAACATCCCTGACGACTCGCACGCTAACAGACTGCCCACCCTCACGGCATGGCGGATGTACTGGTAAATCTCCTGCACCTCTTCCTTCTCTTGATCCTGTTTTCTTCAAATGATTTGATTTAAAGTGTGGAATCTCAATTCAATTACAACAAAAATGTTTGCATGTGTACTGTCTATACATTCTCTCTCTCTTTTTCCAACTGCTGCTTTTTAGATGACATCCATCACTAAAAGTGTTTCCAGTGCAGTTTTATTTCAATATGGCTGAAAATCAAATCATGCTTGTACAAAAACTAGTTGTTTTTTTAGAAAGTTTCCATTAAGCAAATTTATTTTTATAAAATCAATTTGTGCAATTCTTCAGTTAATGGAAACGCAGCCACTGACACCACATTTGCAGGGATATGTGCTCAGTGAAATTGGCTGTATATGGCAAGCCATAAGTGTATATAATAGTGTCACCATGTGTGAACTGACATATTGTGCTGCTCTACTGGAATATAACAAATGTTAAATAAATTACCCTCAGGCATGAAGTAACTGCTGCTGGTTTCTTGTAAAGCGCCACCTAGTGTCTTCATTGCGACTCCAGTTGGATCGCTGTTTAACATGACATTAAATTTGATGATGTGAATTTTAACTTTGTGCTCATTTAAGTCACAGTGAAGCTGCAGATTCCACAGTTTGTTTGAATATTAGCTTGTAAAACAACTTTTTTGCACAGTTTTAGCATATTTATAAAAATACTTGAGTCAGTTGCAGTTTATCATTTCTGTCAGCTGGTTCAGCTGAAAGGATGTTCCTGTTCTTTACACGCTCCCACAAAAGTGTCAGTCAGTGATTTAGAAGAATATTTAACAGTTTCATTCATCAGCTTTAAATATCCACACCTGCCAGCATCTTAAGCGGTAAAGATGGGGACAATGGGGGTAACCGTTTAAGACAATCGATCATTCCTAGCTTTGGAGGTGTTTACTGCTTCACATGAAACCGAACACCTGCTCATATTTGTTGAAAAGCTTTCCAACATGTTCCATGGATTCCAGAGTTTTCTTTAGCGTGAAGATAAGGCAGGTTATAAATTATTCTGTGGTTGTGAAAGGAACCAACATTAACAAGTCTAGTCTAGAAGTTCAGATGGAGCTGGAATGTAAACGTGGACTTTTTTTTTTTTTTTACTGATTTGCTTGTATTGATGCAAACGAAGCTTAGCTCGGCCCACATGGTGCGGGCTGATGGGGTGGGTGGGTGAGCGTGGGTGTTTCTGTGGACACCCAGTCTGATTCATCAAGTTTTGTGAAGAAACCAAGAAGCCCCGTGTGTCACAACGCCTCTGACTGTTTCCTGCCTCGGTGTCTTCATCCCTCCCCGTCTTTTCCTGTTGCTCCGGGCCGCCTCTCGTCTCTTCCTTCTCTGCTGGAGGGTGAGGCATGTCGTCGCACAGAATCAGCGCCGGGGAAAGAGCAGACATCACAAAAGGAGACCTCTGTTCGCTCTGTCACTCAGTAAACCCTCGCTGGTCCGGGCTTGAATCGTCTCTCTGGTGAGCTTACCGCTGACATTTCTGACCTCGTAGCTCAGCAGATAAAGAGTTGGTGTGTTGATGGAGCGAAACTTGTGCCACCAGGATGTAATTAATTGTAGAAACTCTCATCTGGCTTTTTTATTATTATTGTGGTATAATTTGAAATTACATCATTATTAATATTTAAATTGGACAACTTTCTCTGTTTTTGATTCATTAATTCTTGCAGCTTCGCATTTAAGGCTGATACATTAAACATATTAACACGTTCAGATTCTCTATACTTGGTTCTGAATTCTTCATTTGGGTCACAGCTTTTTCTTCAAACAAAAACAAAATCTTATATGTTGTCCGTGACAGACTTTGTGTGTTTTTAATGTTAACGCTGATGGCTCCATCCAGGAAATGACCACCAGGTTGTGAAACTTTAACTTCCTATGACCAAATGGCATCTGTTGGCTCCGACAGCAGCTTGTTTGAAAAGCTCCTTTTAAAGCTGGGCACTTTTTATTAATTTTTTGCCAGAGGAGCCAAAGAGCTCGTTTTGGTCTGGCTTGTTGGTGGCTGCATGTGCATGTTGCCCCATGTTAATGGATTATAAGTTTCTCCCGTGTGAGAAGTTGTAGATTAATTGTGTGCATTTAGTCCTTAAACAGACTTCTCCTTATAAGGGCTGGGATGAATTTGGAGGGTGATTTGGTTTGTGGTGAAAAACATGAAGTGTGTCACCTCGATGCTGCGCTAAGCTGGATTTATGGAGCCACTTACTGCACGTCTGCTTCACTGTGTGACTGTTGGAAAGTGGGAAAGAAAGGTGGTCCGTGGCACGTTTTCAGTGAAAAATGAAGAGGATAGATCAAGCAGAAAAGCAGCTCAGCACGTGTGTGTGTGTGTGTGTGTGTGTGTGTGTGACATTAGCAGAGCTCTATTAGAGCCCAACATGTCAGGGCAGGAGGTTGGAGAAGTTCGTTCCTTCTTCAACTGTTTGTTCCTCTTCGCTGCACCGCGTTTGGCTCCGACTCCCTGAAATCTGCGCTCTTTGGAAAAACAACAAAAACTGTGAAGTTCTGACTGAACCAGAATAGAAGGATGGTGGGTAGCAGCTGTCGGTTACTTTAAATGGCTTTTATGTCTAGAAAGCAGTCCGTCTCACTGGTTATTAACAATCAGTTCACCCAAATAGCATAGCAATAATGCTAAGTGATCTGCACATCAAACAGTATTCATTACAAAATCTGATTTCTTAACTTTTTTATGATTCAGGTTTTTCGTAGCAATAAACATTGAAAATGTAAATGTTTAATTTATTTTGACTGCAGCCTCAAAACTGGCCAAGTCCTGGTGATGAAAGCTTCAATTTTCATAATAGGCATTTAGTATTGATTAATTACAGATTACTTTGTTTAAAAAGAAAATACAATCTTCATAACCTCTTATTTTATGTCATTTAGGAGAATCCAGACAGCTTTTATAAGTAGAACAATGCAACAGCAGTTTAGAAAACCAGATGGAGATCAGCTTATTGTTATGGGGAAGATGCAAGATTTTGGTTAAAATAAGAACTGTATGTAAATAGTTGCACTATATTTAATACATAAGATGATGCACAGAGCCTAAATTTTCAGACCCCTGATCTAGCAGCAGCTATTCCAAAAAGTGCAACACCTTAACTTAGGATTCATTGTTAAGCTAAAACTGTGAAGGTAAGAAATGAAATACTGCTGATGTAATGAAACTCAGAGTTTTCTTCTAGCTTAGATTCCAGTTAATAGGCAGACTGAATGGTTTGTAGCTGCAGGTTTACTTGGTTTTCTGGGTGTGAAAAGAAACCAAGCCTCTGGAAAAAGTTACAAGATAACAAACTTGTTAACTGATTCAAACCAAAATGAATGACTAAGGTGTGAAAACGGTTATTTTACTGTAGTTTTTATGCATAAAGGGATGGATTTTGATGAGTTTTATCAATTTCAGTTTTTTACTTTATGTCCACTGATAATTGGAAGCAGTGGTCCACAGCCTATTCCAGGATTTGTCTGTGGACAGATTTGTTTTTGTTGTTTTGGGGCATACCAAAAATATGATGATGTCAGAAAGTGCAGCTTGAGAGGCTAAAATACTTGATGGCACTGTGACTTAACACGCTGTTTATTGGCTGATGTTTGCAAAGCAGCTAATCATTTTCCTTTTGCTGATTGAGTTTAACCCTAAGAGTGGAGATAATAATGTTAGCTTCTGCGCTCAGATGGTTTCCATGGTTTGTTTTAATGTATACAGAGGAATATTTGGTGTTTAAACTGTTAAACTAAGCAGTTTGAAGCATTTCTGAGCTCTCAAGTATCAGTGGATGTCAGCTGTTCGTACTTCCATTTTAACAGGACTTTAATAGAAACCTGTGTGCTGTTAGCTTTATCTTTGCTAACTTGACAGAAGCATTTTGGCTTTGATTGAATAAGCACAAACTTTCTTGAGCTCTGTGGATTTTACTGCTAACATAGTCGGTAATAATTGTCGGAAACTTTCATCATGTTTTCCTCTCTTCTGCTTTTTCCAACATTAAAATAAACTGTCAAAGAAATAAAAAAAAGTTATCTTTCAACTCCTCCATTTGTCTTTTGATCTGTGATTGTGAGTCGTCGCTCACAGTGACACTCAGTGGACTGCTGGCGATCAGGTGGAGAGATTATAGATGTGTAATCTGTCAGATTAATCCTGAAAATGAGCGCTTCATTACTTAAAGCCTGCTGCTGGCTGCAGCTGTGTGTGGAGCGTGTGTGAGCTGGAGGACGGGCTGCACCAAAAAAAGGCTCCGGCTGTCCGTCTCGCTCTTCATTTGAATTTCATATTGCTTTATTGGCTTGGTATGCGAGCCCATCTGTGCTGCCAAAGCATGGAGGGACAGGAGGTGGGCCAGTTCTCCAACACGGAGGTGATTACTGTACAGGTTTCACCGTGTACCAGCTTATTTGTTATTGTTTTCTAAACTAATTCAGATATTTTTTGAAAATATACACCAGATATGGCTTTCCCATTAATACAGGACAGTGGACCACGTCTAAATGCTAAATTGTTTCACACCCAATATTTGAATGAGTTCAGGGCCTGAAAATATCTGGAAAAATGTAAGAAAAATATGAAAAAGGTGGAATTTGGACCAAAAGACTATGGAGGAAGCATCAGTTCATGTTCTAGGACAAAGGTTTTCCTGTCGTAGGTTCATTGTTTGCCTTGCAGTCAAAATAGTTCCCATTAGGATTCGACTGTGTCATTCACAAACAAACGCGGAATGCAAACAACAAAAAATGACAGACAAAATGAGGGTGCCCTCAGGTTTTCCCATCAAGTCTATTTGTAGACAGTATAAATGCTGGTGTGCGTCTCCTCCCTACATAACACGTACAGAGCATCCGGAAAGTATTCACAGCGCTTCACTTTTTCCACTTTTGGTGGCTGTACATCGTTATTCCAAGCTGCATCGAATTAATCTCTTTTCTTGAAATTCTACACACAAATACGACATTATGATACTGTGGGAAAAAATTGTGTTTTGCACACTTGAGGCTCATATTTGGGGAAGGATAGTGAAATATGTCTGCTGCTCCGAAGGTCCCAATGAGCTCAGTGGCCTCCATCGTTGGTAAATGGAGGAAGTTTTAACCAGTAGGAGTTTTTCTGGAGCTGGCCAGCCAACCGTCTACACCGAGCGGTCAGCGAGACGAGACCAGCAACCCAACGCAGGACATTCTGGATGAAACCTTTCCAGGACTGCGGCGACGCTGCGGTCAGCAGCGTGTTGGGTTTCATCTGTTGGAGGTCCTAAGTAGATCATTGTCTACAGCAAAGCCTTGATCTAGAATCTGAAATGTTCCTAAGATCAACGGCAAAATTTTACATTTTACTCATCAGTAGGACTGCTTCACTATGGGAAGAATTTTAATAACAAATACTGGATATATGTCATTGCACTTCTAGTGCAATAAAATAATGTGAAGATTCAAATGAAACCAAAACCATCCTGAATAAGAGGACATTGTTCTGCTGAAGGATCATATTTGTTAAGTTTTGGTGAGATACATTCAGTAAATTCCTGTGTTGGTTGGTAATAGATCCCTCAGATTCCATTGTGTTGCTTAGATTTGCTGTATTACAGTGATTCAGTAGCTGATCTTTCACTTAGTTTTGTTGTTTACATTAAACTTTGACTGAACTTGAAATGCTTGTTTGCTAAATGACGCCTCTGCTGGTAATTTTACTCCTTTGCCACTACAACCTAAACAGTTTTGTTGGTTTTATGCCCGACTTGTTCCAGATATAAACCGTTTTTTCACTGTTCACGTCAGTCATGCATCAGTTCATTCCTGCTCAGGACGTTTCACCACTTCATTTCACCACTTTACCTCACACTTCACTTTTTAAAACAAGCCCGCTCACAAGACGCAGCTCTTCTTCTCTTCACTTTTAGGTATTCTGTGCCTTTAATGAAGTCATTATCTGTCTTTTAGTTTCCTCTTGGTGCTCACATGTAAATGGTCTCCATCTAATTTAAATGCCATCTAGTTTAATCATATTAACACAACAACCCAGATCCCTTTAAATACACTCACTCTGAAAAGCTGCATGGAGTAAAAGAGGAAGTGATGCCTCTGATTACGTTGGATTTTGTTTTCTTTCATTTTTCATCTCTTTACGTAGTTTTTGTTTCTCTTCATCATTTTCATCACAGTCGTTTTTCATCCTTATATCATCTTTCTGGCTTTTAAAACCTTATAATCAGTGTTTCTCCAGTCAGTCACTTTCCAACAGATAAATTCACCTACTTTTTCTTCAGTCCTGCCCTCATTCCGCTTCAGACACTCGCTGACAAAAACACTCACACACACAGAGGCTGCAACATGATATCTCTGTGTTATATAAGATGGGGTGGGTGATAACTGAAGGTAAGGGAGTGCCCTATCTTTTCTCTGACATATCAGGTAAACTGTGTGCGTGTGTGTGTGTGCGTGGGTGTGTGTGTGTGTGTGTGTACCTAAACATGACTGATTATGTTTGACTTTTGTGCCTGTGTGTGTGTTTCTGCAGTGAGTAAACTCACACAGCCTCTGCGTCTGTCAGCAGCTCCACCATTGGCCGTCTTCTTTTAAACAGAAACTAAAAAAGAAAGCTCTCACCTATTTATTTTGTGATCGTCGTACGGACCTTGCTTCCCCATCTTTATTTGTCTTCACAATGACTGCAGCACAAACCTCTCCTTATCTACCTGTGGAAGGTGTACACATGGATCCAAATGTCCAGATGGGCTGAAGTCAATGTTACTCCTTCACATTTTGTAGACTTTATGCTCTGATGTTGCTTTTGTCCAGATCACATAAAATATTTGCCTACATGCTGCAGTTGGAAGTCTTCAAATGAACAAACCTGCCATCATTAAACAACATATACCTAACGTCCTTCAGGCGATAGAAGACTGATTTTGTAATTATCTTTTTGTGTCTCTGGAGGTTCAGGTCTGATCAGTAGTTTCTAGCTGTTATAGCTGAAACTGTGTGATGACTCTTGATCGCTCCTGGTCTGGTTGGTTTTTACTGGTTCTAGCAGGAGTATGTAGATACTCAATCCGAGGGGCCCCAGGATCGAACCTTGTGGTTCCCCACATGTGATTTCTCTTGGCTCCATTGAAAGTTGCATATTGGCTTGAAGAAACATCATGGTCAACAGCTTTAAATGCTGCACAGTACCAAAAGTACCAACACTGTGATTGTTCCGCATACAAACTGACCTAAAATAAAATCATTTTACTTTGATTTGATGTTCAGACAGTGGAAAAAATGCTACAGGTCTTTTCATGCACTGTGTGAACATCTGGTTTCAACTGTACACGTCGATGTGAAATAACTTGTATCTGGGTTTCAGGAAACCCTGCTAGTCTAAACCAGCCAACACTTCCTGCCTGCCCACGCATCTTCTGTCTGCTAAATGCTGCACTTCTAACCTTATTTTAATGTAATTATTTCTAACTTAAACTCACAAGACAAAACGAGCCACAATATTGAGTTCAGGAGAACAAGATAAGACAGGGTTTTCATTTTACTCTAATAAAAACTGTTCCGATCAAATTCGTACTCCATAAAGGACTTTATTCTGCATTTTTTATAGATTTTGCCACAAACTCAACAAACTGATCAACAAACCTTTTTATCTCTTCGGATGTTTGGCGGTACTTAAACTATGCGCAGTCTGCGGTACAACATTTACCTGTTGCTACTGACAGAGGGCACTGTTTGCTCAGCGTAACCATAGACATTCATCCATTGGTTGTTTTCTACCTGCACATTGTTTGTGTGTTGAAATCCAAAATTCTGCCAAACAAATGATTTGAGTACAGTTGGAGCATCTTCGATTACAACTTCATCAGGAAAAGCCACAAAAGATCCCAAGATAGCAGTCGCCTCAAAGGTTTGTGAAGATTTAACAGTTTGAGATCTTGTTACCACTAATTTCATGTGAAGGAGTTTCATTTTGCTGCCAGAGGCTTAAAAACCTGAAAGGTGACAACTTCCCGACCAGACCGACGGTTCCTGCTGATTTCTTTAACCTGGAGTTTCTGGGAACTTTCAGGTTTCGTTCTTTCAAAAAGGAAAGACTTCCTCTGATATGTTATTTCACTGTTTTTCTTTATTTAAGCTATGATATCTGAAACTTTTTGGAAGCATCATGCACATTTTCACAGTAACTCACAGCAGCTGCCGCTCTGATTGGTTCTGATTTACCTTCTGCAAAGAGAACAGAGTCTGTTGATGGGAACAAGAAAGACATAGAAGTAAAAATCAGACAGTTGCTTTGTCCTTATCTAATGTGTAGTAAGTGGCAAAGGATGAACATCTATGTCCTTAAACGTCCTGCAGTCTAACTTGAGATAAACTTTATCCTGATTTGAACAAATATTTCAGATCTGAACAAACCCAAGTGAGTCCATATTCCAAAGTCCTTCCATATGCATTAGGATCTGTGTGTGTTTGTATGTGTGATCACAGCTCAATCACATGATGCATCACATTGCCTAGTCTGTTTCCATACCCACTCTCTTTCACTTCCTCTGTGTTACATCATGTTGCTCTTTCTCCCATTTGTTTCTCCAGTCCTCTGTTTGTAAAATCTCCTGTTTTCTTCTTCCTCTTTTAGACTCCGGTCCCGTTGCCAACATCTTCTCTTTATCTGTCTGTGTTGCCCTCACTCTTCACTCACCAGCCCTCACTCATCTTTCCCCTTCCAGTCTCTGGTGCTTCAGTTGAAAATGAGGGAAACATTTTCAGCTCAAGGAATGTTGTTGAAAATGTTGCTTGAGTTGAAAAGCAACATTTTCAACTCAAGTAACTCAGGGTGCTGATGTTGTATTCATAATGATATTATTTTAGTGCTGTTTTGGTCTAAACCCAGAGTCATTGTAGATTAGCAGCTTTGCATTGTTTCAGACCTTTTAATGCCCTGAAGTCATTCAGTTATACTTCTGATCTTTCATCTTCTTTAGACGTCCTCAGTTCATCTTCTAATTATTATATTTAGGCTTGTTTATGTCTTGTTTTGAACCTTTTTTTGGGCATTGTGTTACACATTCTTTGTTTTTTAATTTTGACTTAGCTCCTGTGTTTTGTCTCCAAAGTAAGGCTTTCTGTGCTCAAGCAGCATTAGCTTCTGGGCAGGGATTCGTTTTGCAGACCCACAGATAATACTACAAACTGTAAAGACACATCAACTTTTAGATTCATAATTAAAATGCATTACATTTAGCATACTTCTGATTTTAGTTGGGCATGAGTTGGGTTTGCTTTGCAGCAGTGTCCTCTACCGATGGCTGGACGGTTCTTTTGGTCTTTACTGTCTGTTTCCATTGTAAAGGCGGCTCATAGAACCGCCCCGTACAGCACCGATCCTGGGCTTCCTTCAGTTGTCGGCCAATGGGACATCAGTACGGTACGGTTAAGGCGGAGCTACTGGCATCATACAACACAGTCCATTGAGATGGGGACAGGAAAATGTAACTGTTTGCGACAATCACAAGACTTGCAAGTCACTTTTGTCATCTCACTGGTATGACGCAACATGAGCGTTTAGGTTTAACCCCAGTAGATGTGGAAACGCTCAGTGGAATTCAGTTAAATTAAATAGAACCTGTCTGACAGATCTCCCCAATCTGAAGAAATTCAAGAACAGAAAAGAAACAGTTCTAGTTATTTCAAAAAAAAATTGTAAGGAGCTAATACTGTTTGCAAGCATATGAGCACGACCTGCAAGAGAAGCCATGCTTCGCTCCATCATTCACCAGGTCGTCGTGGGGTTCTCCAGGTTTTCCCAGGTCAGAAACACTCCCAGGAGGAGTCTGATGAATCTGTGGCCTCTGACTCTCATCCTGACTTATTTACACTTTACAGAGAACTGCTTTAACGACCGCTGAAGATCAGGGCTTGAACAGAATCATGTCATCTGCAAACAAATGAACCAAAGAAAATAAAGTGGAGGTTTCCTAGTGAGACACTCTGCTGTTCACACCTGCCCCCAAGAGATCCTGGCCATGAAACCACAAGTTGTCACTGATGTGCCATTTCTGTTTGCAAAAGCAGCTCAATGGGGTCATGGCAGGATGATTAACTGACAGCAGAGGACAGGAAAGACAGATTTATGTAGCACTTTGTAACTTTATACACCTTTTCTTCACAAATTCAGGAAAGGTGCCGATGTTGTAGCTGTACGTCTAAATTACAACTAATGGCCTCCCGATAAGTGTCACTCACTATCCAGATTTTGACTTTTAAGGCTGTAGTCTGAGCTTTAGCTTCTTTTGATTTGTCTTCTTCTTTATGCACACTGAACCTCTACATCTGATCAGGAGTATGTGCCATCAGTGATCATCTCCAGCTGTCTGATTTTGAAAACTTGAAGTGAAATTTGCTGACAATTTGTTTTAAAAATACAACTGAACAACTTTTAGTTGAGTTCATGATTTAGTCAGCTCAACGCTGAAGTGTTGCTACTGTAACAGAAGTGAGGATTACAGCGGGTCTCCGTCTCTGTGCAGTACACAGGTCCGATTCCAGCCGATCGGGGGGGTGGTGAGCTGGCCATGGGGGGAGGTCGCAGCGAGACCTCGGCTCTCAGCGGCGCAGGAGAGGCCCGGGGTTTGACCACTACCCAGAATTCCCAGCGGCCCAATGCCTGCTGCTTCTGCTGGTGCTGCTGCTGCAGCTGTTCATGGTAAGAAACGAGCACACACACACAAACACACACGGAGAGAAAGTAACATCTGTCATAAAACACTGAGGGTAGGAGAGAGAAGCATGAATCCTGTTATCACAGATCTACAAGTCAGGAATAAAAGCTGATTAATCCCTGGTGAAATGAGCTCATTATCAGAGTGTTGGTAACTTTAGCAGGATTTGTCAGCAGTCAAGAATCTGCACCTACAAGTGATGTTTAAAAAGTTAACAAGAAACTTAGCTGTCAGACTTCAGAGAAACTGATTCAGAGGTTCATATTCAGATGATCAGATTTTCATAATGCATTTGATGCAAATGCAAAACAAAGACTTTGTGAACATGCACATTTATTTTAAGAGGTGCACTGGCTGCAGCTTTCTAGTCCAGTTCCCATTTTGAACTTTCTAAGAACTGGAATTACCAGCATGCAGATTTATAGTAGTATGATAATGTAGCAATAAAAAAGAAGAAAAAAATTCTACGATTATTCTTGGTTTGTCTGAAAGCAGGCTGGTTGTTTAAAGGAAAACTGTTTCTGTTACAAAGCTGTAAAATGAGGAGCAAACAGACCCTCAAAAATCCACCCACCCATCAGACAAATGTCTGTTTAACAACACTTTAACTTCAGCAAGCATCGCACTGTTTGAAAAACCTCATCACTCTGTAACTGGCCTACAAAATAAAACACAAACTTGCAAATGACTTTATGATAAAGGGCTTTTTTTTCCCAGTTTGTGTATTTATTTAACTGCGACATCTATTCCCTACAGAGTTCTGTATTTCCACTGACTTTAGAGGCAACCACTATAAGTTGGTTTTGCTGGATTGCAACATGGTTGCAGTAGCTGTCTAGAAAAAAGCAATGGTTTCCTGAGTCCTTCTTGAGATGATTTCATCTGGTCTTCATCTGCTTTAATCTCTACTGGCATCAGAAACTTACGGAAAGGAAGTGAAGTTGACTGAAATGGTTATTCAGTGACATTAGCTGTAATGGAGATGTTATCTGTAGGAGGCTCTGGTTGTTGGTTTGCTCTTTTATTTTATTTGCCTCTCTTCCTTTGGATTGTAAATGAACCCTAGTAGAAAAACAACTCATGCAAATTCTAACCTATTTGTTTGAGGTTGGGAAGTTTTATGTTTATACAGATTCATAAATGTAGCTTTAAGCTACCATGCAAACATATCTGACCCTTTGTCTCATATAGTTGCGCAGCATACTGAGCTCACTGTAACAGCGTACTGAGCCGTATAGATCACAACATGAGCAGTGCTAACATTAGCATACAAAGCAAACTCTTGTCATGTTGGGAGGTCTGTGACAGAAACGTTTGGTAAAAGTGTATTTGCTTCAGTTCTGGTACAATATAAACCCTGATGACAATTAGCTTTCAGTAGCAAAGCAGAAATATGTAGTTTTCATTTCCAGTGTGATCATCGCTGACCAGAGAGGACAACCAGGTTGCTTTACGTTGGCTTCTCTTCTATAATAAGTTCTCTCTATGATGTACAAACTCTACATTTTGAAATCACATCTATTTAATTATAAAGACAAATAGTTGATGAAAATTTGATCCAGCAGTCAGACGGTAGCCATGCAGTGAATATGGCTCATTAGTTCCCAAAGGTATGAATTATTTATAGCTCACTCTCAGTTACACACAGTGAGAGTAAAGACACTTGTAACTACTGCTGTTAGCATAACTGTGGCTGATGCTGCCATTAAAAGGGATAATAACAACACTGTGTGTGACTGTACATGTGTTTATAGTTCTACAAGCAATTACATCTGTGTAAGCTGTGCGTGCGTGCGTGCGTGTGTGTGTGTGTGTGTTTCCTGCCTGAAAGCCGTTTTACCATGTCAGTCTCACCTTCAGGAATGAAGAGGAGAGACGGAAGAGGAGAAGGAGGAAGAGAATATCACAGGACACCAAGATGGAAACCAAACTTGAAACTTGGTGAGAGTTCATCACATATAAAAACTGTTTTTGTTTTTTTTTTCTTTTTGTATGACATCATGGAAAAGCATCAGTGGGAGTTTTTGTAGTTTTGAAGAACAAAAAAATACAGAACTTCTCAATTTTAGAAGAAGTTGAAAAATCCCTGAGTTTCTGCTGCCTTGCAACTGTTGCCAACACATGACTTCCTGTATTACAGCTCTGATTCTGAATGAGCAGTTTAGGCCTTGATGCTCACTAATGTAACAGTAAATGTTAGTAAAGACGTTCGCTGCGCTAGAAAGACTGCTAAAAAACTGAGATTCTCAAATCCTTTTTACTTCTGATGCCAAAACAGAACAAGTTCAAGGATATAAATCCTGCAACAACATTTATAGAAAAGCAAGAAAACAGACAAAACAATTATCAGTTTCTATGACTAGTTTTTTTCATGTCAAATAATGAAAAATAGAGTTCAGGAAATCATTTGTAAAGCAGGATAAAAGGAGGTGATGAATCTACACATGAGAACATCAGTAATTAACATTTTAATGAGGACATCTCTTCTTCTCTCACCTGATGTAGTTTCTGTTGAGTTATAATATAAATAATCCCATAATTATGAAAATCTTCATTAGATTTTCACTAAGTCTCCTTTGGAGTCAGAATGCACCATAACTTCAGTCTTATGCATAAAACTCTTGTTTTGTTGCATAATCACTGAGGACTAAAATATAACAAACAAACCATTAAAGCCCAAATTTGACAGATTTGTGGCGTTGCCTGTACATTTCTGATAAATTGCCGTTTTGATTATTAAAGTTATTTCATTAGATGATAATCTCCATCAAACTGCAGCGCAGCTACTATCTGCAGTTTCCTTTTATTTTCCTTAACATGCATAAATCTAATCTGAGTATCTGAATTTTCTTCCTGTGGATGTGTAAGTCAAGCTGTTTGTCTTGACAAAGTGTGAGTGTGTTGAAAGTGCAGCTGCTAATGACACAAGATGAGTTTTAACTGTTTTAGTTTCTGCTTTTTCTTGTTCTTTTAACCCATAATTCCATGATCTCATTGTATTTCGCAACGTCTCCCTGCGGTACCAAAAACATTACTTTTCTTTAAAAAAAGAATCTATTTTAACCAAAACAAACAGATATTTTCCACTCTTCGTCTCACAGTCCCAAGCCCTCGGTGGAGGAGATCCGGATGTGGTCTCAGTCGTTCGACAAGCTGATGAGGAACCCCGCAGGTCGCAACGTTTTCCGGGAGTTCCTGCGGACCGAGTACAGCGAGGAGAACATGTTGTTCTGGCTGGCCTGCGAAGACCTCAAACAAGAAATCAACAAGAGTGCCATAGAAGAAAAAGCTCGCTCCATCTACGAAGACTATATTTCTATATTATCGCCAAAAGAGGTAAAGTTTGCTTCTGACAACCTGAAAATCTCCAAAAGGTTCAAAGAGTTTAAGAGTTGCTGTGTCACCAAACTGAACGGCGGCAACAGGAACTCCTGAACACGTGGAGGCTTTGATGTGCCAGATGTTCTGCACATGCTCAGTGCGCTCTGAGCTGATTGACCCAGTGATTATTGGTTGTTAGATGAAGAGACGTCCCTTCTGCTCAGGGAGGCGTGGGAGGAGAGTGGCTTTCTTCACTCCAACACATTTGTTCTGTGTGTGTGTGTGTGTGTGTGTGTGTGTGTGTGTGTGTGTGTGTGAGCCCGCGGGTTCTCTTGTCAGGTTCCGTCTCCGGCTCGTCACAATGTGTTGACATGTCCGTGTGTACATGTATGCCACCGCGTGTGTTTGTACAGTGTGTTTACAGGAAGCTATAAATTGCTGCTCTCATCACCTTCAGGCACTAAAACCTTTTTATAGAGACACACACACACACACACACACATACCAACAGACACTAAAATAGAGAGACATCCAGCCAGGCGAGTTTGGCACAGAAGATGCATGCCAGGCTGTCTGTCTGTCTGCACATCTGACCTTGGTACGATGCCTATCACTCCGCTATTTGTGGGTTGTGTGTGTGTGTGTGTGTGTGTGTGTGTGTGTGTGTGTGTGTGTGTGTGTGTGTGTGTGTGTGTGTGTGTGTGTGTTTCAGGGTTTCTCACTGTACTTCTGCCTCTATGAGAGCTGATTAATGATAAAACATCTGAGTGAGTACAAAATGTCAGCCTATAGGGTCAGCTGTTGCTGGATAAAAACTCCCTTCCAGATTTCTTCTGCTTTGGTTGAGCTTCCAAACATAAATACTTCAGAAAATGAAAAGTTAATATCAGACAGGAATAACCAGTGTAATGCTGGATGCAGATTTTATATAATTTATTCTAAACCAACCTGAGTTTTTTAAATTCATCACATTGGATGGTTTACATGCATGAACACATCTTTGCTTTTAGAGAGGTTTTAGCCTACTTCATGTTGTCAGACAGGTGCAATTTAAGTGACTTTTTGATTCTGCTATGAGGCAGAAAAAAAAACAGGAATTCTGGAAGCAGGAAAATACTTTTTTTTTACAACCTTATCATTTTTTATAACTTTTTTTTGCACATTTAAGAAAGGAGGATAGAAAAAAGCTATGCATTTTTGAATCACTGTTTTTTTTTATTGTGTTTCTGTATAATTTAATAAAATAACAGGAATAAAAGTCTAAAATCTGATTATCAGTTAATAAGAACAACACAGCTGTCTTTAGTTTTCTTTAACTGTTTCTAGACTCTTCCAGTCTCTTGTTACAGTGGATCCCCACATAATCACAGTTCAGTATCTAAAATATTAGTGCTAATATCTAAATTATTAGTGAAAAAAATCTAAAATATTTTTTAAACAGCAGCTTTAAAAGCTGAAGCCCAGTGCAATGCTGCTTGTCTTTCTATTGGCCGGTTCTGGCTAAGCAGCGAATCCAGGAGCACCATTAATTTTCCTGGCCCTTGATTGGCTGTAGCCCAAAAGCTGAGATGAAGACAGTAGATATTAGCTTCAGTGGTAACACTAAGACGGTTTCCACTGAACATGTGAAGGTATATTTGGTGTTTGATATATTAAAACGATTTAAAGTCAGTCTCAGGTAATCGGGGGTTTTATCTAACAGTAAAACGTGCCAGGCTGAGAGAACGGCTTCTGTACACACAGAACATGTCAGCATGTGGGCAAAACACATTTAGTGGATACAGTCAGTGAAATATTAAACAGTCGTATGTTTTTCTCATCTTCTCATTACTGTAAATAATTGTTTGGAACAGATGTTTTTTATATATATGTATATGATCTTAACTGTCATCTTTTGTCGTCTTTTTCTCCTGTTTGCTCTGAACTGAAGGTTAGCCTGGATGCCCGGGTTCGAGAGGTGATCAACAGGAAGATGCAGGACCCCACGCCTCACACGTTTGAAGACGCCCAGCTGCAGATCTACACGCTGATGCACAGGGACTCCTACCCACGATTCCTCTCCTCCAATATCTACAAGACCCTGGTTCTGGGCGGGTCCCGCACCTCCTCAGAGTCCTAGTCCTCTCCCTGAAGCCCCTCCTCCACCTCCATGCTGCCTCAGGAGCGTTTCACCTCCTCTGTCACACACTCCTCTGTTCAAATCACGTATTCTTTGAATCACTGCCAAGACTCCCTTCAGCTTCAGGTCATTTTAAAGCTTTGAAAATTTAAATTAATTGGAGTAAAACAAATGTTCTGCACATCCAAGTGAAGGAAAGTAGAATCGGTTAACATTTATTGTCAGAAATATTCAAGTTCAATGATCCTCGCTCGCTCGTGTTTACAGGTCAAGCCCATCCATGAAGGCAGATTTAGTTTCTTCCTCTTTCTGTTTTCTTTTTTTTCTGCTCTCCACCTCAGCCGTAAACAACCGGAGAAGGACGCGTTCCTGGATATTTAAGTATTTATGAGTTAGGATCTTCTGTTATGTGGAGACGTACTTGACTACTTTGTGAGAGTCTGATGCATTTCAAGAGGAAAACCGTTCGTCTGTGCCATGGACCTTTGGTGGATTCGTCGCCCGGCCTTCCCCACACACTCCAGCCACCGTAACGAGCCAATCAGAGGAGGCCGTCCCAGACTTTCAACCTGCAGTCGCCTCCTCCCGATGAAGGAAAGCTGAAAGGAAAAGACGGATGCTGAATCATTCCCCCGTTCTTTTTCGTTTTTCCTCCGTTCAACTGGAAAAACAGGGTGCTCCCTCCATCTCCCACCAAAACAAAAAACCCACAAAGTTTTCTGGATCAATCGTTTCCCGCCTGTCACAAACAAACGGATGAAGGAAGGACGACATTCCTTCCAACTACTGATTTACAAAAAGACGACGAGTCTATTTTTTAAGAGAAAACTATATGAAACAATTTTATTATATTTTTTTTAGTTTTTTTTTTTTATTATTTTATTCCTCCTATTGAGTCCCTCACCTGAATGATATTATTTTTTGCAAGCGGAGGAGAGTTCCTCTGAGACTGTACTGATCTCCACCCAACACACACACACACACACACACACACACACACACCACCGCAATAAAACACTGGAGTCCAGACAACAGGCACACACTGATCATATTTGAGTCACTCTGCGTACAGGGATTGTTCAGAAATCATAAGTTAATTCACAAAATAATTCCCAGTGATGAAGAAAACCCCGAAGAGTTAAAAAGGAGAAGAAAGATGTCTGCTCTGAGCGTTTCCTGTTTCCCTCTCAGGGACAGTCAGTCTCTTAACTCAGGTTTTCCTGCTGCAGCTGCAGCGAAGGCAGCAGATGACCGTTTGACTCACATTCCTCACAAGATCCAAACCAACTTCCTGAACGGTTTTCAGGAACAGCAGAGTTTAGTTTGAAGCTATCTGGCTTTTAAAGAAAGCCTCCATTTTTAAGCTTTATTGATTAATTCAGCCCATATATGATCAAACGTTTGATCATATATGTCTATGATTAGTGTTGAAATAACCTTTTTTTGTGTTTTACTTTTATGAATCTTAACTTTGCACATTAACTGATATGAGCTTTTCAGTCCATTTAGTAAACATGAAAAAACAGACGCGGAGCAGAGGTGTCCAACGTGCGGCCCGAGGCCACATTTGGCCCCTGGGCTGATTTGGTGTGGCCCCCAAAAATAATTTAAAAATTACGTAAGTTTGGTTGCTAACTTGTGCAGGCGGTTGATGCCAATTGAGATTTTTTTGTTTTGAATTAGAGCAAAATTATTAGAAACGAGTTAAAATCTTCTAATCATGGAAAGTATATGATGAAATAGAAAGTATAGTATTCATCTGTTTACAACCATGCTTTTTGCGTTCTCTTTGACTTTATAGGAAAAAGTATTTCATTTATGTAGTAATATTTACTGAAAAACAGACTTTGGTCCCCAAAATCTGCTTTTAGCTAATTTATTAAATTTGGCTTAATATGGCAGAATTTGATCCAAGACCAAAATAGTTTTTTTGAAGCTCAAAAGAAAAGTTTTTTCCTTTTTATTTATTGCATGTTTAGGTTATTGTTGAGCAGGAAAATAATTTATGATTTTAAATTGTTTTAGAAATTCTATATTTTTTGGCCCACAAGTGATTCTGACTTGACGATTTTGGTCAATGTGATAAAACATTTGGACGCCCCTGACATAAACAAAGTAAAGGCCATTTTATTTATATATAGCGTATTTTCAGCAACAAGGCAATACAAAGTGCTTACAGGCTAAATCTGTCTGCAGCCTGATATTATGGCAGGTAAACAGTATAAAAATGATTTGCTTATTTATGTTGCCGTGACAACTCAAACACTGAGAACAAAGAATTTTATGAAAACTTAAAAAGTTTAATTTCTGTCCAAACCTGGTCTCAAAATTCAACATGGTGGCCTCAAGGATTAACATCTTCCTGCCTGAATTTAGTTGCATTTATATTAAAGAAAAATGTGTGTTTTATTCTGTCAAGCAGATGCTAGGTTAAGTAGATTGTATGAGTGCATTTTGTCAAAAATTAGACATAGCTGAGAATAACTCCCAACTGTTAGATGGCAGAAAAGTTCTTCCAGTACAATCCTGAGTGTGTGTGGAAGAAGCATTAACAGACGTTACTGGGACACACACCAGTTGGTTCAGACTGGGAAGGTTTCAGACTCATTTTCTAACAGTTACACACAGAAATAGCTGCAGAAATCCACATCTTTTCAGTGTGTTTTATATAACAGTGGCCAGTTTATTGTGCAACCTTTGGTGGAGAACATTAGTGCAGCCTAAAAAACTCACAGATGTGATCAATAACCCTCTGCAGATCTCATTAGCCAATAAAAAAACAAGGATGATTCAACGTTTTGCTCTTTAAAAATCCCCCAAAAATCAAAACATACATTTCAGAGCAGTCCCAGTCAGCATAGTAATTCAAATATTTACACACACACACACACACACCAGGGTGGCCTACCTGGGCACTGCTGCTGCTGACCTCTGTAACCTCTCACCTTCGACCACGCCACTGTCTGATGCCCACTTGCACGCCTGCTCCTGATTGGCTGCAGGAGGCCGCAGGGCTGATCTGTGGTTGGTCAGTTCAGGAAGAGGGGTGGGAGAAAAAATCCCAGGTGCAAAAAAAAAAAACCTTCATGAAAAGAGCTGATAAAAAATATACAGAGATGAAAACAAGGTAACTATTGTATGAGATGGTAAGAATAACCCCAGTGCTTCTTGGGAAATGTAGTGTGAGGAGAACAAACACATGTAGGTGCCTGTAGTGGCAGACAGACCATTTAAATATTAAAAAAACAGCTATCTGAGTCTTTTACCAGGATGGTCACTCAGAATGCATTTACCTTAGTATTGTTAATGTTATTTATTTTATATTTTGTTAAAACTGTGATTTTAATTGTACATATATAAATGGAACCCCTTGAGCATCCAGTGAGTAGCGGTGTCATTTGTTCAGCATTGGTGTTTTTATAAACCAGAAACATTTCAATCTGATTATGTGGAACAAACATAAAATACTCTGGACGTTTGGTTTTTACTGGTCATGCTGAAACGGAGGAGTCAGATTCTTCTCAGTTTTTACTAAGGCTTTTTCAAGGAAAGATGTTTTTTAAAAGTGATGCAGCAGTTAAAGCTCAACATCACTGAACAAGGCAACATCAGGGCATTATTTTAACAAATCAAACATGCAAAACCAGTTTAAATGTAAAAAACAATAATTGTCAACTTTATTTGCTTGACTTTAGTTTTGTCTTATTGGCCCCAGAGTATTTCTGACTCAACAATTTTGTCCCACATGACAAAATGTTTGGAAGCCATGTTGACTTAATGTGGATATAATTTTTCAGGTATTGGTGGTGATTTTGCTGTTGCCATGGTAGCGCTGTTGGTAAAAATGTTGCTTTGCAGCAAGAAGGTCCTGAGTTTGCAGGATCTCCCTGTGCATGTCAGCGTTCTCTCCTGGTACTCCTGTTTCCTCCAATGAGCAAAAACCTTTTTGGGAAAGACTAACGAACACTAAAATTCCCAGTGTCCCCAAACGCAACCCTATTAAACCTGTGTTGGCTGCATAAAAGATGGCTGCTTTCCAGAAAGCAACCAGCTTAAATTCACTTTACCAGTTCTGACAAGATGAATTAGGCCAGAAGCAAATCTAAAACTGGTCTCTGAGATTTCCAGCAGAGAAGAAACGCTGCAGTCCATTTCCTGAGGTGACACTTTAGTGAGTCGTGTTTGAAGTGAAAGTGAACATGAACTGAGCAGTTAGCAGTGTTTATACTGCTAACACCGCGCTCCTGAAGGAAACCAGCACATACTTTCACACAACCCATCAAACTGTCATTTTGCGGCTTGTGTGCCTGTTTTCTTTCCCACAGTTCACTGTAACCTGAGCTGCTATTGTTTGGGATTTCTCAAGTGTGTGTCACACATACACAAACATCATGCATGCATGTATGAAGTAGCAGCAAGATGGCTGGATAAGACATCAAAATGCTTGAGGCAGATTTTGTTTTTCTTCAACAAGCAGTCAAAACTTTGCAGCTGTTAACTCAGGAATAAAACCCAAAGCTTTAATTTCTGCTCCTGCAGACTGAACAGATCATCTGAGCTCATTAGCAGAGGTCCTGGAGGAGCGCAGCTATGGAAGGAGGATGAGTTTAAAGGGTTATGAGTTATTTAAAACCAACTTTGTTTTACACCATGTTATACTATGATTCCCTCATGCTTTTATGCATGTTTGATAAATTCTTTAATCTCCCATGGCAACCAATTGGGGTGCCTAGGCACAAGCAGTAATGAATAGCTGTAAAAAGCTGTGACGACGTGCAGGAAAGAGCAGGAGCTTCTTAAAGAGACAGATACCCAATTTTAAGGTGTCAAATTTCTTTTAAGTCATATTTGATATGTAGAGCCTTTTATTAATAACTGAAGGTAACATACCGTACTTGACTGTGCTGCAAAAAGGCAATATGTTCCTGGAAGATACAAAATACAACCTCTTGGCTGATACTGATATCAAAACAATCTTCTCTGCCTCTACAAAGGTCTGAAAACCTGCCACCATCTCCGTTTGGTCCACCATGAAACAGACGGGCACTAGTCAACTCACTTTTGACAATTTACCGACTATGTTACTATAATAGGGACACAAAAAATCAGTATGGGACAGAATCAGCATCAGCAGGTCAGGCGTGAAGCTGCAGGGTGGAGAGGATGGAGGAAAAAAGTGACAGCTGGTGATCTGTGACAGAAAGATGGATGAAAAGGAAAAGGGGAAAATTTACACGACGGTGGGATTCTGATTGGACAGGAGGAGAAATGATGTCATCAGGAGGACAGTTGACTTGGAGCTTAAAGCTGAATACAAACGGTCACAGATGAGGTTCGTCGAGTTATGGAGGATGAAATCCAGAGCAGTTGGTGTCAAAACCACACGTGGATGCAATATTGGCCCTCTAGTGGTTTTTAATGCAAATGGCTGATCAGTCGTTTCATTACGAGTGGCTGCAAGGCTTTATGTTTTCAAATCTGTGAAGCTTTTTCTCGACTGCTCCACTTTTTAGAAAAAAATAATCACAGTTACCTTCACTGAGATATTCATCTGCCACTTTACAGTAAGATTAACTATATAAACAGGTAATAACCTGTTATTACAGCCTCTAAGGCAGGACCTTTTATGTGGACCAAAGCTTCAGCTCAAACGTACACACCGTGTAAAAAAATATTAAAAAACTACTTACTCAATAATAAATGAAGCATGAACTGTTTCAAGTAAACGACTAAAGTGGTTGGATTGATTTGTAGGAGCAGGATCATAGATTCAAAACTTCAGATGGTTTTTCTGTGTTTTCCTTGCTAAATGAAAGGAATCCAGTTTGCTTTTTAGTTTGGGAGAGAACTGACAAAATGTTTGATTTGATTGAGTCAATACCTGATAAAATTGTCCACCCCAGAACTCATTACCAACTTTAGTCAGTAATAATGAGGCAGCATTTATGCTAAATAAATGTAATAAGCTAAGAAGAAGCCGCGGCTGTTTGGGGAGATGGCATGGAAAAGTTTGAGCATTTGTTTTCTGTGCCTGCTGAATCCTGTGGAGGGTCAGCAGAGGCGGATGGGGAAACGTATTAGCAGTTATTACCAGAAACAAGGATTAGCATCATTCAGCTGCCACTCGACTTCTGACATGGTTGGAGAAGTCACCTTCACTTGTGAGTTCCTTCATTTGGAGCCGTTCTTCAACAGCCTAACAGTTTCTGTGGGTTGGTTTGCGTCGTCCACTGCGTGCCTTCGGCCGCGTTTCCATCCAGGCAGAAGACGGCGAGCAGAGCGTGGAACATCAGAGCCCTGAGCCTGGAAGCGCCACATCGCCTCCCTCCCATGCTCATGTATGGGAAGAGCTCAGCACTGTTTCCACAACAAACACTGCAGGAGCTTTCTGTGCTCGGCTTTCTCACCACTTCTCTTCTCCTCCGTCAACACGCTCGCCACCATCACCGAGAGGAACGGCCAGCGTCGCTGGGCTTTCTCCTGGAAACGTCATTTATTCCAACTGTCGCATGAATACTTTTTTTACAGTTAGTCAGTATCCTCTGAAGGACCGATAATATTCTGACACCTGCATGGAGCCTTGCAGCCTTTTTTTTTTTTATTCAGTTTATTAGAACTTTGATCCTTACTTGGTCTTTAACTTGTATTATTATCCACTACATCTTCCTCACTTATCAGCTCCCTGTTTAACATGTCTGAAAAGTTTCCGTGTCGGAATAGAAGTAGAAATGCAACGATGCAAACATCTGGGCCGATATCGATATCCGATATTAGTATTGCTCTGAATGTTAACGTTGCATATATTTTCCTACTCTTGACTAGAGCTGCAACTAACAATTATTTTAGTAATTGATTATTCTGACATTTAATTGGACAAAAAAACCCAGGATGTTCTGAAGATTTATTATTTAACGAGTTAAGCTTATTTCACACTAGAAATGCATGAAAATAGATTTTTTTAAAGTCAGAAAACATTTTATGTCCTAAAATGAAATAGCAGCTTTACTTTAGTCCATGCCTGATCATTTGTAGCAAAGGAAGCCTCTGTAGCTAAAAAAAAAGAACCTATGAAGAATTTGGATTAACCAAAATTAAGGCAAAAGTTTTTTATTTTTATAATTTGGACCAGGTGAAGCTAAAACTACCACTTTAGTTCTGAACATATTTACAAACAAGGTATTTTTTATCTTGAGTGCAAAATTTATATACATTGTACAGTTTTGGTTTAATCATTGCTCTGCATTATGTTCTTTTATCACATGGTCTTATTGGAGTCTGACTCCAGTTAATTATTTGATCAATAAATTAGTTGACAATTATTTCAATAATTGATTCATCTGATTAAATGGGAAGGAACAGGAACAGGATTCCACCGGTTAAATGGACCAACAGTTCACCGAATTTTACTCTTTCAATAAAAACAAACAAAGAAAATAGATGTTAATCCAAGAGCATCTTTAATATAAGTGTGAGAAGAAAAATACGTGGCAGGAAAACAAGGCAAAGAAAGGCATCATCATCATCATCATCATCACCACTTTCACCAGGCCTAACTGTAAATGTGCTTAAAGCTCCATACAAAACTAAACAGAAACTTCTCAATATTTTCATCTCAGTATATTACAACTGTTAGTCTTGTATTTATAAAAAGAAACTACAAAATAAAAAATATTTTGCAAATTCAAATTTAATTATTTACTGACTTTGTTTCATTACTCAATAATATACACAACCACACACACAACCACACACACACACACGCGCACACACACACGTCTTCAACAGAACTGTGAAGAGAAAGAGAAAACGGGATGATTAGAGTTTGCCTGTCAGGGTTACAGGTAGATAATGTTCAGCTTGCAGCGCCACCTACAGGTTGGTGCAGTTAAAGTTTCTTCAAAATGCAATAAAACCAGAGACATTGGGCCCAACACAACCAGCTCCCATTTCAGGCACTTTGGAAATTTCTGAGTCTCAAAATTTTAAACTTTTGGAACTTCAATTAAAGAAGTTTTTCAAGAAAATGTAAAGTTTTCTTGAAACTGCTAAGACGGTTATACACACATATATATATATATTATATTAACTATATTTGGTGCTTGAACAGTTCAAACAGGCAGTTATAAGAGTTTTGACAGGACGTCTCGGGTATTTGCAGATTTTACTGGAGGTTCACTGTGTGCTGATGTTTGCTGTAAATGTCAGGCGCTGAACAGAAATCTTTCTAATGCACATCAACTTAGTGTGGTTATTACATTTTCTTAATGTGTTTGCCTTTATTTCTAATAGACCACATGGAGAGTCTTCTGCAAGAAAATCAACATTTGTCAACATTTTCTAAGAACATTCAGGTATAACTAGAATAACGCTGGTAACCTGCAGGTTAGGAGTGATCATCTCAGATTCAATACGCTGAACTAATTAAAACATTTTCACTCAGATGAACCAGTTCTGTGAGGTTCTGAGACTCAGAGGTGAAACTCAACCTCTTAAGAGATGCAGAAAAAAACTGTGACAAACTGTCCAACTATAACGTTAACATCCAGCTGGTAGGAGGTTTACTTCAATTTGTCACAATTCCTATAAATCTGCTTTTTGATCATTTCTACCGGAGGATCAGTGAGTGAAATCAGTCGGCTCACCTCGACCCAGAGCCAGCAGCTAAATAAGGGAGGGATGAAGGACTGGGAAAGAAAGGAAGGACTAATATGGAGGGGAAAGGTGGAGAGACTGAGGGGGAGGGTGAAAGTGAAGAGGTCGGAGACGTAAGCAGGAGGGAGAAGAGCGAGTCGATGAAACTGAAGGAGGAGGAGGAAAGAGGGGTGGAGGGGGGAACAATGGAAAAAGTCTGGAAAAAAAACAAGAACAGAGGACATGAAGAGAAAGATGAAAGAGAGAAACATGAAGGTGAGTGAAGAGGAAGAACCGTGAGCTCAGTCTCTGCTGCCACCTTGTGGTAAAACATCAAACTGAGGATGTTGGAGCGAACCGCAACGTGAAAGAGAAAACCCAACGTCTCCTCACCTTCCATCGGTTGCCGCAGCCGTTACACAGAACGAAGGTGGTCATGGGTTCGTCGGCGCTGCGGGTCTGGACCTGGAAGCAAACCGGACCAACGGATGAAAGCAGAGCGCAGCCTGGGGTTCCTCCAGGGCGGACTCTGGTTCCGTACCTGCGTGTACGTGCAGTTCTTGCCGTGACACTTGCTGCAGATGAACATGTCCGTCTCGGTTCCGCCGACCTTGGACAGCTGGTGTTCTCTGATGGACTCTTTGGTCAGAGCCTCTCTGATCTGCTTCAGCTCTGCGCTCGCCATCTCCTGGAATCACACCCACAACAACAGCCGTCTCCCACGGTTACCAGCTGACGGTGAACTCATCAGCGTCTGCCGGACTCACCTCCGCCGTCATGGAGGCGATGCGTTCAGGTGCGATGCTCCCACACAGGACGTTGCGTCTCAGCTCTGGGTTCTTCTGGTCCTTCAGGTTGGAGATGCGGCTCCGCAGGCGCGTCTTGTACTTCATGTCCGTGGATTTGAACTCCTGAAATATCCGTGAGGACGATTAACTGTCAAGGACTAAAACACTTCTACAGTGAGAAGGAATGGTTTAAACGTCTGCAGCGTTTAATCTCTTTGTGTCCAGAATGTGTGGGGTCTGCTGAGATGTTAGCTTTTCCTGACCCATGTCTGTACGAGTCCTGAATGGAGGGAAGCTTCAGCCCTGCTGATCCTCTCCAGATATAATCGATGACTGGTATAAAACCAGGAACAGAGAACCAACTACTGGGAGAACCAATAAGATTAATCAGATCTAAAATAGAAATGCTTCAGGGTTAGAGTTTAAATAACAGTCAGCAGCCAGACTCTGAGAGTCAGACTCACTGATTAACTGACCAGCAGAAAGTGAAACACTTCTATAAAGGCAAAGGATTTTTTTTTTAGTTTCTATCTGGACTGTTTAAACGTGTTAATAGAATATCAATAAGGAAAGAAACTGAAACCTTCTCAGCATCAAGTCTCATCCCAACAGGCCTCAGGTAGTGAGTTAAATACCATTATTCCACAATCAGAAAGTCACAACATGTAGGATTTTATTTAAAAGATTTTCCAGAAAACCAGGAATCATGAGCGCTCCTCTTGTGCCCCCTGGTGGTCGTTCCAGACATATCAGCTCCTTGCAAACTGAATAATTCACCCAAAACAGGAAGGACCACACTTGGTTTAGCACTGGATCCATCTTAACTAAAAAATGTAAATGTAAAAAACTAAAGATTCAAAATGTTACTGTGGCCTAATCAAAGTCCAGATGGATAAAAACTACCTTTTATTATATTTTGGGTCAGATTTATAAAGTTCAGCTCAGTCAGAACTGTACCATCCTGCATGGCACTCGTATAAATGCTCATGTTTAATTAGAAAATAATTGAGTAAAATGGAAAAATGTCAACGTTTTGGTTCTATAATGTGAATTAAATGTAAAGGATATGTTCCTCAATTTGTGCTGCCAGATGTTCACAGTCAACTCCAATGGCCTTGAAGTCATCTGAAACACACAACATGGTTTCTTTTATATTATTATTATTTAATCAGGGACTGACAAAAACATTTTTAGAGAGGGGTCAAGTAAAACCGATTAACCGATTTAGGAAGAAAGCAGGTAACAAGTAAATAAGCAACGTAGCAAGTAACCAAAGGATTAAAGTCGAGGTTTAACACAGATTAAAGACGTTCTCACCTCCAGTCTGCAGAGCCGCCACCAGCAGCTCTCGACTCTTGGTCCGCACGTTGTCTGTAGTAACGGGGACCGGGGGGAAAGAGGTGAACCGGTGCGGGACGGTGGGCGTGGTTGGAGTCTCCACAGACTTCTCACTGCTATGAAATGAGACGATGAGATGAAACATGGCTGCTATGAAACGGAGACAACTTTCAGGACTCTACCAAGAAATTAAAGATTATATCTGTGAGATATAATCTTTAATTATATATCTATGAGATATAATCTTTAATTTAGTTTCATCACCACAGACAGAAACTCTGAATAACTGTAACCAAAGGCAGCATCATGCTGGTCAGAACCTGTTCTCAGTAGAGCCAGAGTCCCTGAAGGTAGACGATGACCTCACAAGAGAGCCTTCCTTCTTCTTCTCATCAGGCTTCCCTTCTGCACCATCTGCAGACAGAAAAAACACACACACACACACACACACACACACACACACACAAACAACTTTTCTTCAAGTGAAGTTTGGAGATTGAAATCTAAAACTTTTCGCTATACTATTTGAATCAGGAAAACAAAACAATTGAGTCTGAGAAATGATACACTGAACACCAACGGTGGATCACCGTTCATGTGTGTACTAGTTAGTTACTGACTAGTCCACAGAGAGGCGGCGCTCACCCAGAAGTTTCTTCCAGGATTTGATGAGAGTTTTGGCCAGAGTCTGAACTTCCTCATCTGAACTCTGTTTCCTCACCGCGTTCACCGACATCCCGACTCTGGTTGACTGAATTCAGACGTTCAAGAAAATCAAAAAATGAGCAAAAAACCCCAACAAAAGAATTCTTTCCTCTTGTGGTAGAAGACATCAGAGAATATAGGCTACTTCACGAGAATTTCAGGTAAGTTCAGGTAAGTCATTGGTCATATTAATATATGCTGCAAAAAAACCGTCTGTAAGTAGATAACATGCTACAAAAAACTACTAACTTGCCCTGGTTAACCTGTTGACCATGAGAGCAGACAGGAAGATGGTCAAAGAAGCTCTAAACAACCTGAAATACCATCCTGGCACCTGCAGCCAGCGCCTGCTAATGATGCATCAGAAAGACGGAGAATGAGGAGGAAAACACGAAGGTCAGACTGACCTGCAGAGTTTCCAGAGACATCTTCATGTTTTTCAGTTCCCTCAGCAAATCAAGAGCGCCGTCCTTCAAAGAAAGAAAGCTTTAGGTTCAGATCTTACCCTCTAAATATAACGCCAACTTATCAAGCTGATTAATAACCAGCTTCTATCCAAACACAGAACATATTTATACCAATGAATTTTAAATTATTTCTACTTCTACTGTTGGATTTATTTATCCACATGAGCTCTTCTTTCTAGTGAATAAAACAATCAAATATTAAGGTACAGTTTTTAAAAAGGCCCCATATGAGAGCACATTATGTAAAACATTAGCACTCCTTTAGCTGCGGATTCTGTTTTCTTCTGTGTCTGAGCCAAATGAATGGAGACACTGAATGCAGCTGCAACCTAAAGTTAGATCTGTAATTTAACAGGTAGCATTAGCTTTAAGCAACTTTATGGGACCAAACATGTTTTAACACATGGAATGAACATTAATTTAACGATTAATAAACAATTTGATCATTTTTAATTAAGTACTTTGTGGGGTTTTTTTATTATCATTATTATTAATTTTTTTTAAGCAATATTATCAACGCAGTGATACAATAACCACACACAAGTGGATTCATTAATTCAGGGTAATTAAAATAAAACCGTAAACCAACTGAAGTGATGACGTAACTAATTCCAGGTGCGTGTGTTTATTTAAATGACAACTTTCTGACCAATGGCTGCCGAGATTCAGAACCAACAAACCACTTTAAAAAAGGCAGAAAACTCGGCTTGTTTTAACAGAAACTTTAACATTTTCTCTGCCAGACCAGGAATAAACGGCGTTAAAAGCCGCTCCCCCGTTTCCAGAATCTTCCGTCCCTCTCCGGTTAAAGGTAGACTCATCACTTGATGGCTGCTCTCATTCCGCGGATGCAGCAACTGCTTTGTGCTCTTACCGTGTTTTTCTTGTGCACCATTTTATCCAGCTTTTTGGCGATGCGCTCAACCTCCTGCGTTTTGGCCATTTCTGCGGACTCTTCCTCGTCAGTTCAGCTGCTCTGCTGCGGTGAAAAGCTCCATGTAAGAAGGGAAAAATCCCTCCCTCTCTCTTTTTCTGTCCTTCTTTCCACGCAGCCTGTCGGGTTTCTGTCCCAGCTGCTGCCTCCCTCTCTCTCTCTCTCTCTCTCTCTCTCTCGTTTGTTGTGATGTGACACCGAGGGACGATGGGAAATGGAGTTTGTACAGGTAGACCAAAACGTAGCTTCTCCAGTTTTCTAAAGATAACTACCAGCACAATAAAATAAATAAAATGGTATTTCCACAAAAAGCATTATGTGACTGGAAAGTTTCTTTGTGGGAAATAAGCAAACCAATTTCAACATATGTGGCTTTTTCGTAAAACTCATCTGGCAACTAAAGTCTTAACATTTGTTCAAGTTCTATGCAGACAAAAATAAATGCATTCATAAAAAATATGTGTTAAATCTTGGCTTTACCTTTGTGAAATGTGATGTTATTTCTGTAATAAATATGTGCACAATTATTGTAAATCATTTTAGGCTTATTTTATTAGATGTTTACAGAATATTCAGCGTGTAAACGGTTTCTCTGTCATAGCTGTAACTTTTCCTCCACCACTAGCATGCATTGAGCTCAGAGACTCTCTGCTGAACATTGTTGCCTCCTTGCCCTGTAATAAGTGTCAACAAAGAGGTTCTCCATCTTTTAGAACATTTCTTCTGCCCTCACCATAAAACCTCTGTACCGGATGAGGAGTATCTGCCAGTTCTCACAGCCACAAATCAAAGGAACAGACTCTGCTTGGTTCGCATTGTCACCTACTGAACAGAACTGATTATCTCTCCAAGTCCTGGGATCATCTGAGGAATTTAACCGACGCTGCAGACTGAGCCATGTTTGAAAAAGAAAATGAGCTTCATAAAAGACAAAAAACTTCATTGGAGCTTTTCAGTACACAGATTATCCTAAAAAACTCAGTAAATTTACTGCTCATATAAAATAAAGTGAAATTTTGGTTCAATCAAGCAGAAATACTTTGATAAATGACTTTATATCTACAGATTTTTAAATCTGCAGATGCTCTTATGTGTTTATTTTCTAAATTTTATCTCAACATTAAATAAATATGACTGCATTCATTTTAGTAAAAAAAATAAAATAACACGTTTATTGTGCAATTGTGTGAAGTCTAAAACGGAAAAAAATTATGAAAAGCATTTCTGCTTAAAAAAAATCAGTAGATTCCATTAAATCTGGAGCATGCTGCTGTTTCTAAGCCCGTTTTTGGACTTGCGTGTTCCTCCTGTCTTCCACTAGATGTCAGTATTGAGTTATTTTATTTTCTAATACATTTTCCTCTTATGTCCTTCATTCTGCAAAATGTCAGATTGAACAGTTTCAAAAGAAATTAAATTGTAACTGACAAAATGAGCTTCAAGAAAATGTGTCTAACTAAATGGACAATAAAGCATCACAGCAGATTTTTGTTCAATTGAAGTTTTTCAAAAACATATTTTTACAGAAGTCAGAGACCATAGAAAGGTTGGACCTCATTTTTACTTCACTACTTTTTAAAATCCATATTAATTTGTTTATATAACTAATCAGAATCTCGACACATTTAATGGATTAAAAGTAAACCTCATAATGGGACACAAGCTAAAAAAAAAAGTAAAATAGCAGAGATGCTGATTTCAGGGAGAAGCAGAAATGGATGGAAATCTTTCATATTTCTGTATGCTCCATGTAATCTAAACCATGCACAGCGCCGCCTGCTTGTAACTTTCCCTCTGTGCTCATCCAGATGTCAGCCTCTGCCCTGGAGCTGAGATGAGTGAATAAAGTTTCTTATTGCAGCTGAACTCTCCTCAGGCTGAAGATCTCCAGTAACGTTAGCGAGTCTGTCAGACTCGACCCAAATGTTTGTTTGCTCCAGAAAACTTCTTTCACTTTTCCTCAACTTCTGTCCTCTCTGCTGTCCATAATTTCACTTACAAAGAAGTGAAATTGTCATATCTTTCATACCCAGTTTCATTGTTTTATTACTCAGTTTTCCTGAAATCTTTTCTGTCAGCTCTACCTCATTTTATTAATTTTTTTTTATTCTTGTCTTTGCAGTACAGAATCTTTGTACCTTCTTGTCTCATCCTTTCTTTCTTCAGTTTTCCTTTTTCTTCATTGCATTTATACTCTTTTTTTACACATTTTTATGTACCTGTTTTCCTATTAAAACAGTCGTGTTTCAGTGGGAACAGCAGTGTTTGCTGCTGTATTTAGCAACTTTTCTGACTTCATCATGAATTGTCGGATCAAACTTTTTAAAAATCGGTGATCGGACAGAAAACTGCAATCGGTGCATTGATATAAAAAAGTGCCAGTCCTCCCATCTGCAGTAGATTTGCTATAATGAGCAAATCTGCAGGTAAAAATAAATATAATCTTTTTAAGTACATTTTCTTGAGCAGTTATGTTTTCATTTTTCATTTATTTAACCGTTATGTAACCAGGTGAATTGACTGGGAACAAATTCTCACCTACAATGACATTAAAATATTATTCAATAAAATATGATTCAGCAAAAATAATAAAATTGAATTCATACTGACCAAATGTACAACAAACATGTGAAAAGTTAAGAGTTTTAAAAGCAGGTACATTAATCATGTACTGTGGTTTTTATTAAAGTTAGCGTACTGAGCTTCAGGGCTTTTTTGCAAATTGTTCCAAAGAATAAACCAATGGTGAATGGACTCTTAGGACTGTCATAGTGATTAATTTATTAGAATGTGAAGTGTGAGTTTTATTGGAAATATTGAGGAGAGAGTGAAAGTATGGAGGTGTTTTCAGAATAATTTTATGCCATTAATGTCTGAATGGTATACAGTATGCAGTGTCATTTTATTGCATTTGCTGTGTTTATTTATTTCCCAATTTGAAAACAAATTGGGAAATAAAAGATGTCTTGATAATTTTCCATTATTTCTAAGCAGACATATTTTAAGAAGAAAAATATGAATGCCAATGAGACACAAATATAGTCTTCATTTCTACTCAGTGGAGCTCCATCTTTACTCACTGCTGTGTACAAAGTGGTCGATTCTCTTCTGAAAGTTGTAGGAAATCCACCTGAAGCCTCTGCAGACCATCTGGCCTCAGCCGCAGTGACTTCACCGCAGAACGACTCGGCTGATGTTGATTTCAGCGAGTGATGCAGCGGCTGCCGGACTCATTTACCAACAATGAGGAAGAATTACCGCCTCAACACAATAGTTGGCCGGATTTTTGAAGGAAATAAGAATGGCTCCATCCATCCAACAGAGAGGGCTCTTCCTGTCTCCCATCATAACTTGCAGTTGCTCTATAGATCTGGTTTGGGCAGAAAGGACACTTCCTGGTGGCGTGTGAAGGTCAAAATGAAAAGCTGGAGATGAAGGAAAGTGGGCACTTCCTGCTCTAGATGAGGCCCTGTGGATCAGTTGAAGCAGAGAAGGACTTCCTGGCGTCAGAGGTTACCTGAATGAGTCCATGCATCAAGAGAAGAGAGGCTGCATTGATCTCATTCACAGAATAAATGCTTCTCCGGAAGTTACCCACAATGCATAGAGCAAACGCCACTGCAACCAGGATCTGGGGTACCAGGAATATTCCACACGGAGACCAGGAGACCAAAGCGACTAATGTAGGTAGATACATCGGTCCTATCTGCAAAGATCAGTTTGTATTTCGCAGAAAATGCTTCAATAACAACATAATAATGTTTTTAATAATGCCTAGAACTTTCTTCCAACTTCAAAATCTTCTCTGATGAGCGATGGCCTACGCAAAGTTCTGTAGACATGATGGATGGAGATGGAGGCATTTTCCCAGACAGACACTCTTCTGTATGCTCCTCATGTTTTTATTAATAACCTCCATCTGTCTTCCACATGCAGGATTCTTCAGGCCGATCTTTAACGTGTTCACTCCTGCTGATGCTGCATTATAGATGTACAGCTTCAGATAAGTTATTTTTCCTGCCTTTTCAGATGTTTCACTAACCTGTGAGACTGCATGTTATTAGAGCCGCATGTTTTTTTTTTATTTTGAGTCTATAGATATGAGCTTCTATGCTCAGTCACAGTTGCAGTCGCTTGAAAATCTGGAAAGTGAAAACTGTGGATGATTTGTGTTTCTGTGGGGATTTCATGCTTGGTTTTCAGCTGCTGGTGACGTAATGTTTTTATTCTGATCATCTTTTCCAGTGTATGTTTTAAATGTTACATTTTTACCCGTTTTAACAATTTTAAAGAGTTTTTTTTAAATCTTTTTTAGATGAGTGTAGCTTTTTTACATTCTGGTGTTGGACGGATCTGGAACAATTAGTCAAAGTTTCATTTGTTTTTCAGATGGAAATTCAATATTTACAATTCATCAGCTGTTTGATAATCTCAGCAATAAATATGAAAGCATTAATGGTTTTAAGTTGACATTCATTTATTGTGTTCTGCCTTAATATTAAATCCATAAAATAATACAAATGAATGCATCCATTTTATCTATAGTAGTTGCCAGGATCATATAAAACAAGCGTTTTTGTTTTTCTCTTAAAACAATCAAAAGTAATGGGGAAAAAGCATCTTGATAGATTGTTGGCATACAAAAAATTAACCTAGGGCTTTTTTTTAAACTTCATAATATGATCTGAACAAACCAGTTCCATCTCTGCTTTGGTAGGAAAACGTGTTTCCAACTGTTAAGCCCCAGTGAATAAAGCAATATTTCAAAACTGTTTGTGCGGCTTTGGACAATAGCATCATTGTGCTACAGTTTAGCTTTATTAGCTGCGTATTTTTACAGATGAAAGAAGAGGAAGAGGAAACACAAATCTGAAGAATGAAAGCTTTCTGACACCGGACTTATATGCATGACATATTGCCACATTATTAAATATTTTAGTTTGAGTTCAATATGTGAAAATAAAACAGAGGTGCCAGTAACCCTATCTAACTGATCAAAGGGATTTCTGTCCTGTTAGCGTTAGCATGCAGCAGTATCCGTTAGCATTTAAAAACGGAGTTTGTAATGGATGTATGAATGTTTTTTTCTGTATTTCTACATTAAAACGAGCAGCTTAACTTCCCAGCTGCACAATCATCTCATCATTACAGGAGAAGCTGAGAAACTGTCCGTCTGAAATGACTCTATCCATCTAATTAGCAGCCTGCTAATAAAACATCACCAGATGTTGCTACAAATAACCGTCTGGCTGCGCTAGCATTGCTAGCTCCAGAGAAAAGCGTGCCGCCGTCATCGCGTCGCATCAAAATG